GTGCCGGGCCGGTAGCGGTGCGGCTTCTTCACGCCGCCCGTGGCCGGCGCGCTCTTGCGGGCCGCCTTGGTGGCCAGCTGCTTGCGCGGCGCCTTGCCGCCGGTGGACTTGCGGGCTGTCTGCTTGGTGCGAGCCATACCTGAGAAGCAACAACGACTTGAAGTGAAAACGGGAGCCAGTGGTCCCACTATTTATAGCAATTCTCGAGTCTTGATTGGACAATAGATTGCTACCTCCCTTGTCTGCCCCGCCCTTCCCGCCCACCCCGCCCACCCCGCCCACAGAATTGATCTGGGTTTATTCCTTTAAGAAAGCGAAGCATTTTCCCGCCTCTGCTTAGGTCTTTAGAATAATGTACAAAGGCAATATTGGCTTTTTTTTAGAAGTTTGCAAGATGTATCATAATTAAGAAAGTTGTCTCAAGAATCTGAATGTGTCTTGCACTATTTTAAATACATGGTATGATGATTGAACTGTTTACTGAATAACATGAAAGGGAACTTGAGTGTATAAATGGAGGCATCGAAGTTGCTTGAAATCTAGTCATTATGTTCTATGCCACTATTCTCAGACCTCAGCGTGTTTAAGAACCCCTCAAAGAGCTTGCTGAAAGAAGGGTCGGCCAACTTTTCCTGTGAAAGCCCATGATAGCATTTTAGGTATTGCTGGCCATACTGAGTCAGAACAATTTGTCCTTGACGGCGAAGTGCGAGCAAAGCGGACATATAGCAAGAGATCCCAGTTTATATTAAGACTCCGTAAGAAAGGATAATGTGGGTCAAAGAACTTTTCACTGAATGTGGAGATGCTGACAGGGCGGGGGGTGGTTACGAAACGGTCTCATTAAATTGCAATGTCAAATCTAGCTCTCCGAAAACCGCCAAACCTACACACCTGGGTGCCCAGAGAAACGGAAAGCGTTAGTGCCTACAGCTCTTTTAACAGATTTAGTGGGGTGGCCCTGAAAAGGGCCTTTGAGTTAAGTGGAAATTTAAAACTCTAGCCGCCAAAGCCGTAGAGGGTGCGGCCCTGGCGCTTGAGCGCGTAGACCACGTCCATAGCCGTGACCGTCTTGCGCTTGGCGTGCTCTGTGTAGGTCACCGCGTCCCGGATCACGTTCTCCAGGAACACCTTCAGCACCCCGCGGGTCTCCTCGTAGATGAGGCCGGAGATGCGCTTGACACCACCTCGACGAGCCAGACGCCGGATGGCAGGCTTAGTGATGCCCTGGATATTGTCGCGCAGCACCTTGCGGTGACGCTTTGCACCTCCTTTGCCAAGACCCTTCCCGCCCTTGCCGCGACCAGACATGTTCGAGATTCGAACAAATACAATGTCCAATTGGCAAAGTCGCCATTTTATATAGTGGTACTTCGGACCTGTTTGGGAACTTCTCAGGCCACCTCAGGGAGTTCCCAGACCCGAAGCCCCGCCCACGTTTTCAGGCAAAGTGGAAAGGGCGGTGCTTAAACTTCTGGGTTAAAAAGACGCCTAATTAATGCAGTTTCTACAGTGTTTTGAGCTTGCCCACCGCTGGAACCCCATTTATTTGTCTGGCTCAGGACTTGCTGTCCAGTTTTATTTTGTTTCTGTCATCTCTTAGACATGGATCGCACTAGCGACTTGTGGCTGCTAGAATGAGTGTCCCATTTCAAAAGCAGTGATTGTAGTCATTTGGGGGCATTTGTGAAGAAAGCTTATCGTATCCAAAGTGCTTTCTATATAATCTCAGTGTAATCAGCCTGTGTAGCGGCTGACTGCAGTTACCTCCTCCTGATAGCTTCAAGCTGGGGCTCCTCAGTGTTCTCATCTTCGGAGCTCTCCCCTCTTCCTGACCTTTTACTAATCCTATCACCTTCCTTTGGCCGCCGTCACTCGCTGCCACATTATTGTGGGGAAAGAGAACTGACTTTTTCACATTTTCTTCATCTGGTTTAGAAACACTTCAGGAAATTGAAGAAGAAGGTCTGTTTTACTTGCCCTTTTCTTGGTGAGTCCGTGAGAAGGTGAATATGTCGCAGGGATTCCCACCCCCCCCACCTCCTTTTCTGAACTGAGAAATCGAGTGCACCCTGAAATCCCGTGGCTTTAATTTACAGATAAAGTGCAGAATGTAGAGACCAAGAACGATTTTATTCTAGGAAAGGAAACTTTCAAAGGCAGAAAGATGGGTGTCTATATGTCAAACCTGTTTAGAGTGACCTCTCTCAGGCCCTTACTTGTCTTCCAGGTATCAGATTTTGTTTTTCTGGAAATCTTCACCTTCTGTGGCCTACATTCACCTTTCTCTTTTGCAGAACATCAGTAATGTTCACCCTTCCTGTTTCAAACGTATGTGGTTAATTATTTACTCCTTGAGCAAATTTCTAATTTAATTCTAGGAATCAGTCTCCAAGATATTTATAAACTCCTTTCTAATTACAGTAGATGCAAAGCACTACATGCCCATGTTCTGTTGGTTAATCCATCTCTTATTGAGTTTCTAATCTGGCCTCCCCCTTCCCCCCCCCCCCGCCCTGTTTAGTAATGGAATCTGAGTAC